GACTGCAGATCTGATTCACTGAGGCTTGAAATCTCATTTGCAAAAGAGGCAAAGTTCAGCTGAAGAAAAGTCCAGGAAAAGTATTCAGGAAAGTCATTCCCCCCTCTGGCATACAGGCATATGAATCTTTAGAAGATATCATATAATTACCCATACATGTATGACTTCCTGGAATAACTGCATAACAGTATAGCCACTATTGTATTTCTATTCCACTGCAGTTTCACATACACTCAGGTCTCAGCAATACACAAACACACACATACACAAGTTCCCTGTCTGATGAGGTGTCTCACTCCAGAAGACTTACAGTTGTCAATAAATATTTGTGCTCTTTTTAAAAAACAACTACTACCACAAAACACACTATAGAAGGCTATTTTTCAAGGATACTTCATATGTTAACTTTTTTCAAATATGGATATCCCAAGTGAGAAAAAACATGTGTCTTGCATCCTAGAATGAAACTGGAAATCCCTGCTTACAGAGGCTCTGGAATTTAATGAATTTGCACTTTCAATATTACGCTATCCATGCACTCATCCCCTCATCACACAAAAGTAGAGAACCTGTGACTTGCCAGATGTTGCTGCACTGCAGCTCCCATAATCCCTGGAGCTGATGGGATTTGTAGTTTGGCAACATCTGGAGGGCCACAGGTTCCCCCTCCCTGCCGCTGAGAGAAGACACCAAGTACACCGAGGAGATCCTGTACTGAAACAAATGCTGGGTCTCCCTGGCCTTACAACATAAACCCTGCAGGATCTCCCCGTGTCCATTAAGTATCTTCTCCCCCCATTAAAGAGGAAGCATGAGCATCTCACACCTCTTCCTCATTGTCTGAACAAGGCGTACAGTCTTTGCTGGTTCATTTCTAAAAAAAACAAACACAGAGAATGAAAAAGGCAAACCATATTTTTAAAGTACAATCTAAAAAGTAACAACTGTCTTTTCAGTGTTAGCCATTTATAAAATATACACTCCCTGTATATCCGCTTTAGGAGATTTAAGTTGATTTGCAGCCTTTTCCTTTAAAATAACAAAACATATTTTCAACCGAAGCAATCTTCTCCACCAAGGAAACAAATGCTTCTAGCACAGGTAAGCCTGCCCTTATGGCTTTCTGATTTATTGGCACAACCTGAGCTAACAGCCAGCAGAGTTTCAGTTCCTGTGAGGTTTCCCATGTCCTCTGCATTAACTCATGTGTTAGTAGGTGGCCACCTATCGAACACATTTCCAAACACCTGCGGACCTGCCCAGCTGTGCAAATTGCTTTGCAATCAACCTGCAAAAGGCAAGCAGGAGAATTCACATCTGAAGACCACTAGATGTTTATCAGCTCTTTCAAAAAAAAAAAACAAGTTGGCCAGAATTCTGCTACAAGGTTTCTACAAGATTTAGGCAGAGAGTTCTGCCTAAAGCTCTGAGATGAATAATGACTATACAATAGCAGAGCTAACCTTGACAACTATGCTGACTATGAATTATTATACTCAGGGTCAGCCCAAACCATTTTGGCATCTGAGGCAAACCACAAAATGGTGCTGCTGCCCCCCCTGCCAGGATGAATGGGTGAATGAAGAACTGCATCAGGAACAAAGAGGAGGGGAATAAAGACTTGCATCTGAAACAAGGTGAGGAGTCAAATCAACCTTATCCGATAGTTGAAGGAGGAACCAAAGGCCTGGTCTGGTGAGGAAAGGGGCCTGCTGTAAGTCACACTAAGTAGGTGCAAACCCCCAGGAGACCCCAGAGGGTAGCCCCCACCATTTCCTCCCTAGGGGTGGGAGGAGACCAGGAGTGCCTCCTATTCACCAAGAGGGCACAAGGCAGCAGATCTGGCCTCCATGGACAGTGTATAAGCTAAACCAGCTATAGCTTAGGGCCACACTCTCTTGGGGGCCCACAAAAAAAATAAAGGAAAAAAACCTGGATGCACATTTCCAAAATATAAGATAAAAAACAAATAAAATAAAACCTACATACAGCAACCGTGTTTTGTGCTGTGTAGGCTCCTGTGATCTAAGTAATGGGCCCCACCTGCTAGCCTGCTCCCTAAAATATCACTGGTTTGCTGATTTCTGTATATAGGGTGCCTACATTCTGCTATTTATAATTATTACTAGTTTGCATCATATACTTACACCTATTATTATTTCATGTTATAGCAAGTTTCTAGAGACTAGATTATGAGTCTTTGTAAACTGTGTTTCTAAAGGAACTTTTATTATTGCCAAATGCCAATGTGTTTGCATTATTAAGGTTGTTTTGAATAAAAAATCATTTCAAGTTAGAGCTTAATAATTATTTCACTATTAATATACTTCTTTGCTAAAATACTTATTTTGTTATGTGCAAATGGCTTTAGATACCTATTAGGTCCATAAATTACCATATAGCATATATTCAACACAAAAAACAGTGACAATTTGCTGTTGACAAAGGACAGCTGGACATATAAAGGGCCCCATTACCTTCAATAGCTTAGGGCCTCATCAAACCTAAATCCGGCCCTGTCCATGGAGTGTCCACAGCTGTCACTGCTACCATGGCAGCAGCGCAGGCAATCTATTCCTTGGAAGCCAGATCTTCTGCCCCTGTGGATCCTGCAACCTGAGGCCATCAACTCATCTTGCTGAATGGGTGGGCTGGCCCTGATTGAACTTTATTTTTAGCCTAATTTATTTACTGCCTTTCAGTTTGCAAAAGGGACCCAGGGTAGTTCACAATATTAAAACAACATTACAAAACTAGTGAGCATTAACTCAGGGAGGTAGGAATTATAACAAGTGGAACATCTGGAAGAATAAGAAGATCTTAACTGCACAAGTCAAAAGTGAACCTTTCTTAGGAAAGAAGTTTCACAATTTGGGTGTTGCAATCAAGAAGGCCCAAATAACATTTATGGACACAGCTGTCACTTCACACACACCTTGCATTCACATTAAAGACTACCAATGTCATCAATTCTCATAAATAGGCATGAAACCTTGCCCCTGTTCCCCACTGATGGATCCTTTTCTTGGGTTTGTTCATCAGTAACTAAACATGCAACTTTACCACATCAATTTTCCCATGCAAAGTTGTCACTTGTCTGAAAGCACCCCACATGTTGAACAAAGTTAAAAGTTTTTCCTTCTTTCTTTCTCTTAATAATTCCCCCCCCGAAAGTTATTTCAAACATATGACTGCCCCTCATGTATATTATATTTGCTCAGCAATGGACCATGTTACTCAAAATACTTTAAAAACCTCAGTTATCAAAAGGCTTTCCCTTTTCAGCTACAAGCAGTTTTACATACTTATATTTTATTTACGGAGATAGAGTCTGCATATTCTAATTAAATATTTTGCATATATTAAATATTTACCTAAAACATTTAACCTTCCAAAATAACTTCACAACTTTGGGAATTCTTCCCAGACTGGGTATGCATAAATTGAACTCCAAAGAACTATGTAAGGCAGCTTTTGGTTATTATTAATCATCTTTTTCATGTTCCATATCAACCCTGGGCTGAGACTGAGATGAGGTTCAAAAATATTTTGTAATATGTATGGGTTTACTATTAAAAACCTATACTGAACATACCCAAAAATAACCTTTTGGACCCTAGGCAACAATGAGATCCTGATTTTAATGTCACCGAAATTCAAAACTTCTTTTTCTGTTCCCTTGATGACTGATACCATTTAAATCAAGAACAGAATCAATGACATAAACTGAGCAATAAGTAGAAAATGCTGCTGTTTGTTCAGGATTATCTTGTGGATATCAATAAGGAGAACTGTCATTCCCCAAATATTTGTGCTGACAGAATCTTTTCATGTGAATTTAAGCAAACATCAACTAAACAGGTATAAGCACATGGCTGAAATGAAAAGTCCTTGAAATACATCTGCTTGACCACAGTGCTCTCAAAAGTTAGCTTGCCAATCAGAACCATGCATTCTTCCTGTGTTCACAAGCCAATCAGAGCCATGACTTCTTCCTGTGGTGCATAGCTGTCAACTTTTCCCTTTTCTTGCGAGGAATCCTATTCGAAATAAGGGAATTTCCCTTTAAAAAAGGGGGAAAGTTGACAGCTATGCTGTGGTGTCATTTGCAGTACAGTGGTATGAACTCAAGTTACGAACTTAATTCGTCCAGAGGTGCATTCTTAACCCAAAACTGTTCTTAACCTGAGGTGCGCTTTGACTAATGGAGCCTCCTGCTGCCGCCCTGCCGCCGGCACACGATTTCTGTTCTCATCCTGGGGCAAAGTTCGCAACCCGAGGTACTACTTCCAGGTTAGTGGAGTTTGTAACCCAAAGTGTTTGTAACCCAAAGTGTTTGTAGCCCAAGGTACCACTGTATGTGCCAGAGAGAAATATTTTACAGTAGAAGCATTGTTTACGTGTATGTGGCCGGGGGGGAGGGAGCAAGCAGGCGGCCCAAACATGTATGTGTTTGCCTTCTTTTGCTTACTAGAATCCTTTTTTAATCTTTCTGCCTATTTTCCTTGAGGCCCTGTGCTCTCCCCGCTTTCTTTGGATCTCCCTTCCCTCCTGACATCTTCCTGCTTCTCAAACATGAAAGCTGAAAAGGATACTCCAGACAAAAGAGAAGACATTCTCCAACACCCAAAGCAATTTCCAATCCTGTTATTCCTAATGAGCATTGCCTTGAAAACAGAAGGAAATTTGTGGAATATTGCCCAAACAACATGAGCCAATAAGCCAAAGCAGGCCATCTTTTACTCAGTGACCCATATAAAGACTTCCAGGTCAGGCTTCCTCCCCTGTCTGGGCAATAAAGATATGGGTTGTTCCTCTCTGTGTATTTGCCTTCACGTTGTCCTCCCTTTGGCTTTGCTTCACTCCACCTAGAGACTTGTTCTCTTTCTCATACTCATGAAAACACCAAATTATTTTGCAGGGTCTGAACACAGTTGCTCATCTCACCACTACCAACAGATTGAAAATACTGCTTTACAGACATATTTATTGGCATGTACCTGTGAATGCACTAGCATTAAAGATCTCCGTTCTGACAGTAGGTATGCTGGGATCATCTTTGCTGGACGCCTTTAGAATGTACTTCTCAATTACACCTTTGACCCCAACCGGTTCGTCCCATGTAACCTCAGCGCTGTAACCATTTATGCTGTGAGCTCGCGAGGGTGTTGGCACGTTTTGCGGGACTGTGAAAGGATAAAAGAGGAACAGAGAAAACAGCAGTCCTAAGAAGACTGTTGCCCCATTCTTCACTTTTAATAGTTGCAGTAAATCAGATTCGCCATTAGCATAAATACAATTTATTAGAGTTGTAACTTTCCAGCATTGATTTAATATGACTGCACATCTTGAGCCATTCACTTTTAGCTATATTTCAAAACCATCAGAACTCCATCTACATAACATTCTTCTTTGTCTAGTTCAGGTTTTCAAAAAACATTTAATGTATCAAACGTGTTTGAAACGTCACTCACAAGGGAAGAGGGTGTACTGTAGAAGTTTAAACAATATAATGATGTATCCAAGTAAGACCAGACAATTAGACTGTTATTATACACAAGCATTTGAAATTTCATTGCTGAGAAGTAAAAATTTTGCTAAAATGATGTCTTTTTCTAAACAACTAGAGTTTCATATTTTCAGGTTCCCAAATTACAAAACCTAGAGATATTGCACGCAATCAAACTAATTCTGTATTATCAGTGGATAGGTGTCTGTTAATGTCAACAGATGGTGGGTTGGAGGGACTTAAGTTATCATTAAGAAGGAAACAAAGCTTGAGATTTTGCAAGAATATGCCTTTGCTTTGGGTCAGTTCAAATAACAAAGTACATGTTGCTGCTTTTTTCTTTTGTTTCTTTATAAATGAAGATGATTAAAATAACTTTCAAAGCACAGCTCATGTAAGTCTTGCAATTCTTGTGGGTTGTTTTTTTAAAAAATCTTATTTCCAATAACTTTTAACTATTTATTAGATGTTGCTATATCAAGTAAAGATCTGGCCAGAAACAACTTCATCACAGATGACTGCACAATGGATGCCAAGGAAAGGCCCAAGGAACTCTATGGCAGGATGATGGATGATAGTTTTGCTATAAATGCATGTGTACTCTAGAGTCCTGGTGATTAGGACTGCTGTAGCCTCTCAGCATCAAGTGCCCCTCTTTTATGCCCTGATACCTTAAGACTCATTTAAAAAATAATCTGGTAGGAGGGTAGTCTGTGTAAGGGGCATCAGTATGCCTATGTTTCCTCCTGAAAGCAGCAATGATCCACATGCAAATCTTCAGGTTGCTGACAATACTACATTAATATATTGATTTTATTAGTTCTGAAATGTATCACAGGGCAAGGTAAGGTACTGTATAGCAGATGGTCTTCTCATAGGGGACACAACAAAACTGACTCAAAAATAATTAAATAGTGCAATTATTTTCCAGCCCTTGGGAACATGTAGCTGTTCCGTGCTGTGGTCAGATTGTAAATATAAATTTATGGTCTGAGTTACTCTGGTCAGACAATTAGGGCAAAAATATGGCTGCAGTTGCTCGCTTTGGGATGGTCGACCACATGGTGGCATTAAGCTGTATAAGCAGCACATTTGCAAGTCAAACACTGCTTTGGTAAAAAGCACTGGAAAGCAGCTTTTGTGACACAGGAACATTATACTACTAATTTGCAAAGAGACTGGTGATTGCGGAGGTCATATACCAGAGTTGTTTCAGCATTTTATGACAATAATTGAAGAAATCAATTCAGTCCAAACAAAACCGACTGTAGTGCAACAGTTCATGCAATAAAAGGAAAGTTTTGGTTCAAATACACTGCAAAATGGCTGTCCCAAAAAGCAAGTCATCTTTATATTTTCAGCTTGAAGACACAAGGTTGGAGCAAAAAATGTCTTCCCAAAATTCTCCACTTATTATCACTTTCACCACCAAATTCAAGCAGGGTGGGGGTGAGGCAGAGGCAGATTTAGGGTGATGTGGTCGCACTGGGTGTGCATTTGAGGAGGGTGCTTTCTCAAAGTCCAGTAAGTGCTTGCCTGGCTTCAAGAAGATGTATGAGGACTCTGACAAAGTCCCAGAGTTCTTCTGCCTCCTTCCGAATGCTGAGCAAGCACTTATTGGGGTTTGGGAAGGAGTTAGAAGGCTCTAGGACCCCGCGGGTGGCGCTGTGGATAAAACCACAGTGCCTAGGACTTGCCGATCGTATGGTCAGCGGTTCGAATCCCCGCGGCGGGGTGAGCTCCCGTCTTTCGGTCCCAGCTCCTGCCCACCTAGCAGTTCGAAAGCACCCTTAAAAAAGTGCAAGTAGATAAATAGGTACCGCTTTATAGCGGGAAGGTAAACGGCGTTCCGTGTGCTGCGCTGGTGCAGGCTCGCCAGAGCAGCGATGTCACACTGGCCATGTGACCGGAAGTGTCTGCGGACGGCGCCGGCTCCCGGCCTCTAGAGTGAGATGAGCGCACAACCCTAGAGTTGTCAAGACTGGCCCGTACGGGCAGGGGTACTTTTACCTTTACCTTTTAGGACCCCGCCAGAACCTTGTGGCTCCTTCTCAAAGCCTGGCTTAAGCCTGCACTGCAAGGGCAGGGTGGAAGGGAATAGCCCCTTCCCAACAGGAAAGGGAGAAAATTCTCTTCTGAAACATTTTGTATCAGTTAATACTGAATGAAAAAAATATTGTTAGTTCATATGGTGGGTGAAGGAAGGGCTCACAGAGGAGGATTGGAAGGACTAGAAGCCAAGCCCATTGCCTCTTTCAACAATAGCTTAGGATCAGGTTACTTGAAGGACCACCTTGTACCTTATACCCCTTGTCCCTTATACTAGGTCATCAACAGAATGGTTGCCTGATGGTCTCATAGTTATCATATATATTATGCAAACTAAGGCTTTTAGCCTAGTGACACCAGTACTTTGTAACACATTCCCCCTACCCCGACACTGAAATCAGTGTGGCACTCACAATTATATTTCATTGCCTGCTTAAAACATTATCAACAACTGTTTTGAAGAGAATTAATTTGATTCTAGATTGTTAATTTGTTCCGTGTTTTATGATTTAATAATTTTGTGATGTTTGAACTTTTTATTGTACACCACCATGAATTTTTGCAATGAGTTGGTGGTGAAGAATCACTCTTATAAATAAATATTAAAATAAGTTCCAGCAATAATAAAGCTGAATCCACTATGGCAGTGGCTCCCAACCTTTTTTTTGGCCATGCCCCACCTAAGCATCTCTAAAATCCTGATCACCCCCGTGACATATAATTCTTATTATTTAAAAAGTGAACTCCTATTCATGTGGAGGAAGCCTAAAAGGCCCTTCACTATTAATAACTCATTCTCGAATTGCCCCCTTAAAAATCAAATTGCCCCCCTTATGGGGCATGTGCCCCACATTGGGAACCATGGGACTAAGGTGTCCACAAGTTTTCACCCCATTTGTTGTGATATATTCAGTACCACCAAATATTCTCAGGGTGGTGCTGAAATTTCCCAACAATTCAGGGGGAGCCTGACTTTCCACCCCAATGTTTATCTTTTTACTCAGCTCTATCAGTAAATGTACTTGCTGGACATATGTATTTGTCAAATTTCTAACATTTGTATGGATCATGTGTGGCCTTGAACCTATGAAATTGGGCTACACCACTAAAACTGATGTTTTATCTATAGGGATTGGTGTATATGTGTATGTATACCCCGCTCCCAAAAAATCTCTGCTCAGGAAAAAAAATGGACAAGTGCCCACAAAAACAAAATTATCATCTGGCAAGTCAACACATAGCTTAAGATGTTTCTTTAAAAGATAGGAAAATCAAGAAATATGTGAAATATATGGACCAGAATATGATTCTGTTTTATATGTGCTGAAGCCTACTAAAAACAATTGTCATAGCATATTTAATCCTACATTGAATGGTAACCATGGTATTTCAAGTTCCAAATAACAACAGTAAGAACTGGGCCAAAAGCCTCTTTGATTTCAGTGTGTAGTTTTGGTGTGTCTTCTCTTTTTCCACACTAAACATTGCCATTGCTACCAAGCCAGACTGGATACAAGAACAAAATGCAGAAATGTTAATTACCCGATTCTCTTGTGCGACCACGATCCCAGGCACTAGATACAGTTCCTCCTTCATTAGAAGCAATTGTCCGGTACAAATATTCTTGCGGGGGGGGTGTGTATAAATGTGAGAATAAAAGGTAAAGGTAAAGGTAAATGTGAGAATAGAGCAGTAGAAAATGAACTAAAATGAAAATGAACTAAAGCCACACAGCTTTTCATATAAAGAAGAGGCCCGTGTGGTACCTGTAAATGGCTGTAGACCACTCTCATAAACACTCCTTTCTTTTCCTCGGTACACTAGGATGGAGTCATTCCCCCTGCAGTTAACAGCACTGTCAGTTGATAGGCATCCATCCAGATTGACTCTGACAGCACTGCTGGACACAGATGCCAAGTTAACGACAGCACCTCGTGTAAATTTAACATCCTTCATGCAGCCACCAAAACCTAGCAAATAGTAAGGGATTAGTATCACATAAAGGGCTTCAGTTGTTAATTAAGAATCATGTTTTGCTTCTTGCAGTGCTACATTTCAGCGATAAGGAGAGCTAGATGTAAACGTTAAACTTCAAATTATGTTTGAGAAATGATTAAAAAAATATTTAAGCTGATACAGAGCTATCATTCCTGAATTTCTACCGCACTGAAATGTACACCGATTATCCAACATTTCAGCCGACATGGAAAAACCTTAATTTTGCCACTTGTCAGCATACATTCACATCAACAGGTGCAAAATATTGATTTGGGAGGAAACTATCACAGATCCTTCCTATAATATATAACTTTTATGCTATTTGTAGTTAAATGCTGTTATCATAATAACAGAAGCAGTGTGAAATGGCTATTTTCACAACATGAATATTCACACGTGCTTTACAGTCTAATTATTGTAGTCATAATATAAAAAATAGAAAAGTACTTGGAATGCCTTGCTCTAATTGGGTTATAATAGGTGGGTGGGTATTTATTTGTTTGCTTTCATTTACCTAACTCCAACCTGAAATTACACACAGAGCCAATGTGGGTAACTAACTAATAATTGCTTTTATTAGAGCAAAGTCACTTCAGGATGAGACAATTTGCAGTGGGAAAATGGTGATGGGGGTGAAGCACAGACACCTTTCCCACCTCTACATTTCCAGTTGCAGAGTGGGCAAGGCACATCTTAAGAAAAGTGTAGCTGTTCATCTTCTGAAAAACTACCCTCTCTCCAAAAGCAGCTTGTCTACAACAAAAGGAATCCAAATTGTGCTAAAAACATCCATAATGTTTATTTAGGCATTTAAAGAAGAATAGGCACACTGCAAATCTGAAAGGCACACATGGATCAATCAGGTGACACAGCCACCATTCAGATTTGCCATGTCCACCCCTGCTTAGAAGCGCTCCCTAACATAGACTGTTCCTTTCTTCTGCCAAATGCTTGAGGGTGTATACTTTGTGGCTTCAGGGCAGAAACCCTGCCTTTGCCTCCAGTGTCTATGTCTTCTCCATCCATGACATTCCCAAGCTGAGCTGGAAGGTCTGTAAGGAGGCTTCTTAGTGCATTTGGCTAGGCATGCTTAGAAGTCTCCCTTCCACGTTGCCCCTTGCATATTTTATACCCTCACACCTTCAGCCAAACACAGCTATTGGCAGTATAGCATTGTTACTTCCTACCTCCTGGTGCCATGCTTTGGAACTTATCAGGAGCTTCTGCAGCAAAGGCCAAATATGAATTGCTAGAAATCTAATTTCTTAATCTGACAAATAGGATATGAAATGCAAAGCCCTGGTATAGTCCTAGGCTTCTGAAAGTTAACTAGCCAACCCCTGGGTCTAGGATCTCTAGAAGCCCCGAACAAAAAGCCCCCAAAATGTGTATCCTCACTTAGGGGTCTGGCTGGGATGAACAGAGAGTGCTGCTAGAATCTGACTCTAAGCTTTGCTACAGCTGCCCATCACTCAGTGTACAAGAAATACCAACTGTGGTGTACAAGGACCTCAGTCATCTACAGCAAGATGTACCCATGGGTTAATGTTTGAAATTAATCTAACATACCACTGTGTATCTTTAATATCACGGCAGCCTTGTTAAGAGCAACTATTGTTTCTTGTTAAAGGAGAAGGCAAGGGAGAAATTCTTTAAAATTTAATTGTGCGCAATCAGCACCAAAGTGACCGCTAACACATGCACCATTTTCAGTGCTGAAAGGGGATGGGGTAGGGGCAGTACAGGGCAGAATGGACTTGCATGCATCCTGACACGTGCGGCAGCCTGGAAGAGAACCCCTCAAGTAAGTTGGAATTCCCCTGTACAAAAGAAGTAGTTCACAAATGGTGGGGATTGCTTCCATTCCTTGAAAGCTGGCTCCAGCTTTGGGGAGCCCCTTGAGCAAGTTCTCCACCTGCTGTTTCTGCATTCCATCTACTTGACCAAACTGTATAACTGCTCAGCATGCTGCCACAATATATGCTATCCACTTGCAGACATGTTTCCTTCCCTTGTAGGAACATACCTTGTTCTAATCCCAGCTTTTTAAAGACATTCTGGACCTCATCTGGGATTCCTCCAATGTAGACCGGAGAGTTTACAAACAGCTGATCTAAACCAGGTTCCACCACATGTTCTTTCAATTCATTTGCACTTGCTGAAACTACCAACCCTGCTTTCTTCAGAATAACTTCATTCCATTTTCCATCGCAATAGGACAAGCCTAACCAGAGATTCACATGTGTCAAAACAATGCCATTGCTTAGCAGAAAAGACAAGACTCCGCTTTTTAGTTCTGCCTGTAGTTCAAAGTTGAAACAGAAAAGAAAGAATTGATGACAGCAAGAAAGACAAAAATGCATTTAAGCAATAGAACAAATGTAAATAGTAGCTAAATAATATTCATTAACATTTCAGTGACAGTGCTGGTCCCACAAGAAGAAACACAAAATAAATATTTTTTTATCAGCACAATTAGGGTGCAATCATATGGTCCATGAGATGTGATTTGGCAGATTAGGAGCTCTGTCCATGAATGTCTCCTTGTTGCAACCACCACTAATGCTCCAATGAAACCAGCAGAAATTATTTTTCCCCAAAAGGGGGGGGGGAAACCTTTAAAAAGTGAAAAGAGACCATGAAGCCCCTTCTCACTTTCTACCCTGCTAGTGTGAGTCCAGTAGGGATTTGACAGAGCTCTGCCCATGTTTAAAAAACAAACTGCAAGCTTTTAAATCACATGACACTTCCTTAGACAGATTGCTTCGGCTGGATAATTACAAACCTGGGTAACCTATATCTCACTATTTTTCAGTCTCAAGATAAGGAAATTGGGACAAACATGCAGCACAACTTAATGTCTGTTTACTCAGAAGTAAGTCCCACTGGTTCAGGTAAGTGTCTGTAGGATCACAGCCTTAATTGTGCAGGAAAATGAACGCAAGAAAAGCACCATCTGAAAAATGTGTGTTGTTCAAGGGATATAGCGAAACGCATACTTGAGTGTCCACTAGTATTGCAGGGTCTCTTCAGGAAAAGAAAAGGTTAAGAAGTAAACCGTACATCTATCTGTCGTGGAGTCCCTATAGATAGGGACTGCTGGATGGCACCGTATAAGCCTCTTTCCAGCAACTCCTCCAGCCAAGCTAGTGCCAAACATATTGCTTTGCTTTCCTTTGGACCACATCAGCAAGGCTGGGGGAGTCTTGCCGTCTGGGCAGCCCAGGACCTCCATACACATTGCCCTGGCTTGCACCCCAGGGGAGGTCACTTCGGTGCTGCTAACACAGTGATTTGGCTTCACCCACAGAGGCGCACTCCATTGTCTCTAGAGACAGACAAATGCCAACAAGTATTTTTAGAATGTAGAACTGCTCTAGTCAGAGTTAAGCACTTTAAAATCCCATTTATTTTGATAGAAGCATTAAGCACATGCTATTCTCCTTTCATTGAAATCAACAGAACTTAAAAAGTATTAACTTGAGCTGATCATGATCTTTATTTCTAATCTGTGTGTAACTAGCTTATGACTTCATTACTGAGATTTGCATAACTGATGGGAGTAAAAAGACTGACCTAAAGTATGACTGCATCTTCTAATCATTTTACAAAATGGGAAAATATGTATTTGCCAACTGTATTATGAAGAATATTATGACAAGTCCATTGAGAAAGAAATCCGAGATCTGCTTAATCTAACTGCTAACTTTAAATTTAGTGTACTGAATTTTAAATATACATGATTCATGCTGGTCCAAAAATAATATTGCATATTTTTGGAAATGTCTGAAGAAATGGTTTCTTTTTAAAAAATAATGGGGTATATTTGAGGGTATATTTATGAGTCAGTTTATCTAATATAAGCACGCATCACCAAAATGTTCATTTTCTAGTTAAATTGCCTGCATGATTTCAATAGTCAACACTGCCTCTTTTTTGGGATGCAGTGGTAAGTATATTTTGAGATTCTAAATTGTCCAGCTCAGGGGGAAAATGACATTTAAATAAGGTTCTTTGTGAAAGAAAAGGATTAATAAGGCCACAGGAAAAACAGACATTTCAGCATCCATGCCAAAATCTTATTATGTGAAATAAAGAGGGCAACTTAAGATGTGCATTTTCTTTTCTTAAAGATACACTTGTTTAATAAATATCATCATCTTGTATCATGTATCAATATTACCAGATAGGCAGATAGAATATATATTTAGTTTTTTTAAAAAAAAATGACCCCAGCTGATCAAACATGTGTTTCCAGTTGCCAGCTCAGTCCTGTCCCTGGTCTCCACCCCCTCCTTGTCCTTTCATCTTCTGAATTCAAAGACAGGAGCTACACAAAAGCAGTCATTGAGCTGTCACACACTCCTTTCCAATGAGACTTTAGTGCTAGTTCTCATGAAAGACCATATAATCCCATCTGTTATGATCCGTTAAGGGAAGAAACTGGCTGCACATAATAAAATAATATAATAATTCACAACAAATGGCACTGTGAGGCGACCTCCTGAAGAGAAAATGTACTGTGTGCTGTTATCCCGCATATCTCGCCAGTCACAGCCATCAGCGTCTACACTGCAAAGGGTCTGTGAGATAGAAAGTTTAAAAAGAAGGCACTCTGCAAAAGAAGGGTGTCCTTGGGGTGCATTTTACGAAGGAAGCTCGTTTCTGAAAGGTTGCCATATCGCCCATTGTAGGCCAAATACTTTAAGTGCTACACATTGCAAGTATTCTGACAGTAGCTACAAATCGCTTGTAAGGAGTAGATTACTGGCTAGCTGTTCAGAATGGCCAGTTGATGGTTCATCAGTGAATTTGGTGAGAGGGAACTTGAAGGAGCATCTCCACCCCCATCGTTCAGCCAAGACATTAAGATCCAGCTCCAAGGGAATTCTGGCAGTTCCCTCATTGCAATGTGAGGTTACAGGGAACCAGGCAGAGGGCCTTCTCAGCAGTGGTGCCCACCCTGTGGAATGCCCTCCCATCAGATGTCAAGGAAAGAAAGAACTATCTGACTTTTAGAAGACATATAAAGGCAGCCCTGGATATGGAAGTTTTTAATGTTTGATGTTTTATTGTGTCTGAAGACTTAATTTGTTGGAAGCTGTCCAGAGTGGCTGGGGCAACCCAGTCAGATGTATAGGGTATAGATACTGTTGTTGTTGTTGTTGCTGCTGCTGCTGCTGCTGCTGCTGTTTCATAAGAATTTGGACAAAATAATGTAGCCTATCTCTTTCCTACCTGCGACTAAATGGAGGGGACAGGTTTAAGATGCACCTGTGTATGTGGGGGGAAAATAAAGTTTCCCATTTTGGAAGAGAAAGAATGCCAAGAATGGTTAAAAACACCTTGAGAGTGTGGGAGACCTCTTTCCCCTGGGATATTGTGTGGGATAGTATGGCTTGTTAATGTGACTCTTTGCCTACATAAATGTTTTGTTTTGTGTACTTAAAGCCAAATCAAACATATGGAGTACTGCCCCTGAAATTTTTCCAGTTCAGGAAAACGTAGGGCACACAGTACAGTAATATTATTTGTCAGCTCAAATATGCATAGATACTTTTTGCCTCCACTACTACATTAATGCAGTAGTGATAAGGAGTTAATTGTAAAGTGCAGCTCAGCAACAGAGAAATGGAAGGTGCTCACCAATGTCAGGGGGGAAATGCAAAGAAATAACATTCAGTTGTCCATGGCTTTAGCTATTTAACTATCTATGGCCAGTAGCAATGATGGCCTGACATGTATTCAAATAGGGAAATCTAAACTAATTCCTTGCAGTAAAAAAAAAGGAGGGGGGGCTTTTTTCTATAAGCTATGTTGCTTTTTTATTTTACAGTCAAGTAACTGGTTTAAGTATCTTAATGTCTTTGGAAGAGAGTTGGGGAGTTACTAAAAGACAGGTGAACTATGTGATGGAGTGGCTTTGATTTGTGGAAAAACCAGGTTGATATCCCTGCTGAATAACACTGAAATAAATTTGGAAAGCCAATACCGCTGGACTGAAATTTGCTTGCAAATGTTTCACTTTGCATTCAGGTGTTGATGGGCTTTTCAAATTATTTGATTATTTTCAACAATCCCTGAAGGGAGCTGTAGTTAGTCATAAATTCTGGAAAAGTGGACTTTGAGGCAGAATGAACTCACAGAAAACAATAAAGCTTTCGAGTGAGAGGGATCTGCTCATCATTACTTAGGATATCCATATGGGGTTTTGTTCAACATAGCACTACCGAGAACTTTATGTCATCACAAGGCTTACTCTTTGTGCAATGCAATGTTCCTCCCCTCTTCTTTTCCTCCGCTCCACCTAAATCTGTTCTGGGGGCTCCCTCAAACTTCCAGGACAGATCTGGGGAGGAAGAAATCCTGTTGCTCTAACACTAATGCACTAGCATAAGAATATAGCTGACTATCGTTCATGTACTGTGCATGCACTAAAACTGATGGATACTATCAGCACTTACCTACTTTGTGGTGCACCTGTTAGGGGAAAAGATGGGAAAGAGTGTCCCAGACAAAAGCCGGGTGCTATCTAACCTATGGAGAGATAAGCCATAGGGTGTTCATTTATACTAGCAGTTGTTTGAGTGCAGCAAAAAGCACCACAAGTCCTTTGCAGGGCCAATGTGCTTAGGACTTGTACTGCAACCCTCTGGGCAGAGACCATGTTACTTCTGAGTTCTTTATAACACTAAGCATGATATTAGTGGTCAAGAAATGTTAAATACTAATGGATGGCCTATTAATGGATGGCCTTTTCAAACAACTTCAACTTCCAATAATCTGTGATCCCATGATTGTATAAAGGTAGAGAAACCAGATGGCCTGGCAATGAAATACATTAGTGAAATGGCACAAGACAAAAATCAATAAGATACTATTCTTTCTAGCTATAAAACTATACAGGAAAGTAGATTAGGTCACAGAGGTTATGGGAATATCACTATACCTAAGAAACAAAATTGAGGACCTAATGAACAGTCTTTATGGATGCACACTCCTATTCATATAACTACTGCTATGATTAGTCCACTGTCCTCCAGATTAGGACAAAGGTAATGAGTTACTTCAATTGACAGATGGGAAGAATGAAATCAAGTAGCAATTGATATATTCTCTCATGTAAATTTCTTCATATCATGCAGTTTATCCTGCCACACAAAGGCGATCCAGCATCTATGCCTAAAAATTCTTAAATAACCTATTTGAAAACAAAAATATCAACACCTACAGCAATGTAATCTGGCCCTTCTTTGTTGTAAATGAACAGAAGTAATCCATTCAGCTGATCCGTTTTAAAAATAAAGGAGATCTCCATGTCTGGACCAGCATGTAAAACATTTGAGTGAAGTTCTAGGAAACCTTAAGAAAGAGAAGAAAAGAAAAGAAAACCATGCAAAGAATGTTATACTGCAGTTTCTATAATTATATAAGTGAGAATGAAATTCAGTCAAATTCAGTTCAAGGAATTGTGTATAATATTAGCCCAATAAATAGAGGGCTTGTTTTTGAGATGAATGAAATGAATACTGAAGTCATAACTTAGCAGTAAGTTAGCCACACTCATGTAGGCTTCCCCCTTCATTTCAACTGCATTTGGAACTACATATTGAAATGAGGGAGAAATTTCAGACAGTCAGGTTTGCCTTTGTACAACACTGTGTGTGTGTGTGTGTGTGTGTGTGTGTGTGTGTGTGTGTGTGCATCAAAGCCACTGTATCTTAAACAGGTCATTGGCCTGTGATGACTTTCTCATTAAACTCAATTTCACTAACAATAACATTAAAATAACTAGAAAATGCAAGCAGCAATGGTTGGAGAACAAAGCCCTGTGTAGGATATCAAATGTCATATGCCAGAGATGGCCAAGGGCCATCTTGTCTGGTAAAACGCAATGCCCTTGCAAGGGTCTGGTTTTGTGATCTAGATGAATATAACCCAATAGTATGGACTCCATGATGTCTGATGGGTGAGTGAGAATGATCACATGGTCCCACACCAGCATATCTAGGGTGGGGCCATGTCCCATCAGTCCAACCCACCCATCATATACTATGACAGGTCTGGGAAAAAAGTGCTATTACAGCAGCTTCCATGTCTTTGTGCATAACATATTCAGTAGAATTAAGAAGTAAAATGAGGCCCTTTCAGTTTTGATTCTGATGTTATGGGACCTGCTATTAGAAGCTCAGCCCTACTGACTTTTCAGAAGATCTGCAAGCCATTGCTCTTCAGCAGTGGCGTAGCGTGGGGGGTGCAGGGGGGGCCGGCCGCACCGGGCGCAACATCTGGGGGTTAGGGTTAGGGGGCGCAAATCCACGGGTTAGGGGGTGCAAATTACTTGCCTTGCCTCGGCTGCTGACAACCCACGCTACGCCACTGCTCTTCAGAAAAACCATTTTAAGGGATAAAGCTGGCTAGGTTTTCTCCGAATTTTGCTATATTGTGCTGCTTCTATTTGATTGTTTAAGAATATAAATGTACTGTATTTTAAATTTGAAAAGCACCAAATTCTAATTAAGATCAAATAAAGTATTTTGTATTTTTTTCACTTCACAAAATTCAGAACAACACAACAACAACAAAAAGGACAGGTAGTATTTCAAACAATTTTAATATGGGGTTATACCTTTCCCAAGAAAATGTGCTCCATTTGCAAGCATGCCTGGACACCCTTCCCAGCTGTGATAAACATTTCTTTGCTCCACTGCTTCCTTCCATTCTAAAGGCTCCCAAACTTCATGTGGGTGATGCACCTTTTTCAAGGACACCTCTCGGAGACACCCCACAAATCCTCTTGTAACTATTTTAGAGGCGCCTGACAAAAAAATATGTTAAAAAGCTGAAATGCACAAAATATAATGAATTTGTTGGAAATAAGAAATAAAAACAATTAATGCATAACATCAAAAGAGGTCCAATCAGTTCTCCAACTCATCTCACTTGGAATGGCTCTGGGACTTCATACTTGGTACTGCAGTAGCACAAGGACTTTGAGCGAATACTCAAGGGTGGGCTGGGAAGTGAAAGTATTGCCATGCAAACCATGCAACACCTTCTTACCTGTATCTTTTCTTAGGATTTTAAAACCCTGTGGAAGTCCTCCAACAAAAACTCCTGTGTTTTCTCCAATAATGGTACTACCACTGACAGCTGATGAGGAACCTAAAAACAGCGAAAGAAATTTTATTCTACTGAGAACTAGACGATATCAGGTCAAAATTCACCACCATGGAAAAAGTAGAGAACAATCTTTATTTATTTAAAGTATTTATCGGCCACATTTCAAGACAAAGTCCTAACAACGTGGTGTGCTGAGATTAGATGAACTACACAAAGATGCATTTGAAGCATCAAAGACCATTAAAAAAACAGCACTGCAAGGAGCTTTTGAGTCTCAAGAATCAGCAGCAAACACGGTTGAAGAAAGGCAGATTTAAATAGATGAGTTGTCAAAGCACATTTGAAGGCCTGCACTTTAGAAACCATATATACATAATTCAGATCCACAACAGTGGGGACAAAACTGAAAAGGCCCTATCTCTTACGCCTGACAATGTAATTTATCTCATTTATAGATGCACAGCCGTAATAGCAAACAGGATGAAATTAGGCAACTTGGTATCAGAAAATAGTGTGTCAGAACAACAGGGAGTATCTACATGTTCCACCAGCAAGCCCACTTGTATCGATGCCATGACCAAAGGGGACCAGGAGTAGGTGGGGGATCCAGGGCAAGAGGAATGAATCAGAGCTACACTACACCAAGATTTGGCTAAACATGTCATCTGTGTCGGAATTCAAGCCTATATCAGTAGTAACTGGCAACTCTCCAGGCACCCGGCTTGATCTCCTGTTGACCTCCCTGTCTGCATTCCCCAGCAAGATCCAGGCAAGGTCGCGATAGGCGATTCTTCTCAGCGTGAGAAGAACACACCCCCTCTTTCTTGCCCCCCCGGCAGGGGAAAGAGATAGACAGAAACGTATTTACATGCCTTTATTTCTGTCTTTGCAGCGTTACAAAAAACATGACTGCTCTCTTCATGCTCCAGCAGTCGAGTGACAAACACTTCCTGTACTTCCTGTACAGGAACAAAAGGAAGAGCTCATATTACACTCTGAGCTAATTCCGGTGCTTTGCACTGTGAATTGACTGTCCCTCTGTTTCCCACGGACAGTCCCAACATTCCCATCATGTTTTGTTTTCAAGCTAGCAGTTGGCAGCTGCATTGCATCCATATCGTAACAATCTGAACATGAGATTGTGATGAAACTCTTTCCTCCTTAACTAAGATCTGAAGCCCAAGTTTGATCTTGGTTACAGGATGTGGTTAAGGAGGAAAGAGCTGGACCATGATCCCAGCTTCAGATGAGATATTAAGCTAAACTTTGGCTTAGCTGCCATGCCACTCTGAACTACAAGGAGAAGGAAGACGCAAAACACATCCAAACAGATAATCAGGGCTATCATTTCCCTGATGATCAGTACCTGAGTAACCTGGTCAGAGAAGCTTAGACATCTGAGCTCTAGAACACTGGGTTTAATTTATTTTATTAAGCCCAATGAATCAATGGCTATCTTCTGGAGTCACCAGGATAGTGTCCATGGGCATGCATATCACTGCAACATTCCCTGTGGCCTTCATGGTTCTCTCCCACATCCCTCTATTTGCTGAAATTAGGCATGAAAAAACCCATTCTATTACAACCAGTAGAACAGGCTCTGGTGTGATATTGCTTATGGTGTGTGTTGGAGGGGTGCCCACAAGTTTCTCTAGTTTGCAAGTTTGGCCACAAGCGCGAAGCATTTGGCCACCCCTCTGTTAGAGTGAATTACCAGCACAAAAGTACCAAGTTGTTCATTTGGAAAGGGCTGAGAGAGGCCCAGAGGTCTAAACTGAAAATTACCAAGTTAAAGATAAACCTGTGTGTAATTTTCAGAAGCATCATCTTGTATTTTATTACTGCATCCTTCCAATGATAAAGTGTCCAGATATTAAACAAAGATAAGTGAAAATGAAAGAAACCTTTAGAAAAAATAATAATGTGACAATCACTTGAGAAAATTAATAATAATGCTATGAGTTGAGAGAATTACCTGTGAACTGCCCATCCACAGTGATTGTTCCCATAGCCTGATTCCTTACAGCAATTATATGGTGCCAACTGTTATCATTATATTGTCTTCCACCATCATTATCAGGAGTTAGTGCAACAGCAGATCCCTTTTAAAAGATATTTAAACAATTAATAAAAATGTGCCGAGATAGGTCTCTGAGTCATTATTATATCAGCCTCGAGATATAGAGGCAACTTTGTTTCAAAGTGAAATTAGAATATCCTACAGTATTTAAAGGATCCCCCCCCCATTCTGAAATGGTAGAACCATTCACAATTAAACTTTTCAACTTTGCACACAATTCAGCGGTAAATTATCATTACACACAACCTCATTACATCTTCATCCAATAATGTTAGTGCAATGCAAGGGTCAGTTCTCACTGAGCTGACTGAAAATGGTTCCAAACAAAAATTAACCAGCAGCGACCAGGGTAGAAAGTAAGTTCTATCATTCATAGTGGCCATCCTCCCACAGTCTGGCTATTACTGGGTTTATCCTTGTACCAGAAATCCCAGTGGTGAGGATGAGTGTCAGGGCTTGGACATGTGCAGTTGTCTTCTAGGGCTACAGATTGCTACCAGCCATGGTGGCTATGTTCCACCTCTACTACTAGAGGCAGTATGCCTCTTAATGCCAATTGCTGGCAAACACAAGTGGGGAGAATGTTATTGTACTCATGTCCTGCTTCCCGGCTTCCCGTGGATATTAGACAACAAATGGATAGCTCAGTTGGTTAGAGCATACTGCTGATACTGCCAAGGTTGCAGGTTTGATCTCCATAAGGGACACCTATATATTCCAGCATTGCAGGGGATTGGACTAGTTGATCCTCATGGTCCCTTCCAACTCTATGAGTATGATATCTGGTTGGCCACCATGAGAACCAGATGCTGAACTAGATGGGCCTTTGCTCTGAACCAGCAGGGCTATTTTTACTTATTTGAAACATTCATATGCCACTTAAATATTACCCTCTTATAGTCCTTCCTGTCCAGGACTAGACAATGGAAGAAATACACCAACCAGGCAGCTGCTGCAGAAATGCTCACCACATGGGGCAACTGCACATGAATCCAAAGACTCCCAAGCTCAGATAGAAACCTAGATACCATTACTCATGTATTTTTAGTTCTCTTTGAAATATAACGCAAACCACACACTTACATACAAAAACAAAACAGAACCATCAGGATGTACCAAATATCTTGTCTAATATACTCAGGGAGGAATTAAACATTGTACCTCTTCTGATCATTCCACCAGCAGAAGCATGTTAGCTTTCTAGGCAGAACTATCCTCCATTCCTCCACCTCGTGCTGTTCTCCTGGTCCCTCCCTGAGCCAGTTTCGTGTGTTTGTGTGTCTGTGTGTGTTTGCGTGTGCAATGGTAGGAGGGCAGAAACCCCATTGTACAAGCAGAAGTCTCTGTAGAGGGCTCCTGTTGATGGGACTCATTACATGAATCCCACCCTAAAACTAGAACATTTATGTGCCTGTGTTTCTTAATTTTATAAATATTATTAGCCACGTTGAGGACCCTAGTAAAAAAGTGGGATATAAATCTACTAAATAAATAAACCAACATATATATATACAAACCCAAGTGTATATATATATGTTTTTCTTCTCAGAAAAACTTTTCACAAAGTTCAAGAGGTCAAGACACGAAGGCTTGAGCAACTAATCCACACCTAATGACCCACCTAAGTGGTACTCAGAATATCACTCAAGAAATCACTCAAGATATCCCTCAAGTAATTAAGGAACAAAAGAAGAAAAGGCACACTAGCCTGGGAACTTCCTCTCTGCCCAAAACATTGGAGGCTATACACCACACCCCCTCAACAGTATTTATAGGAACTCAAACACTGAGATCCTGCTCTGTTCCAGTAACAAGAAGCCGAAAGCACCAGCCTGAAGATGACGAGTGAGACCTCGTCGAAACGTCGCCTAGACACCCCAACTTTTACACGGGAAGACACCCGAGGACACCAAAACCTGCAAACCCAAGTGTTTATATACTGGAACATGTTAAAAAAAAAATCCTTCACACACCACAAGAGAGGTAGCAATTCAAAAGTACCTTTTATAATATTAAATACAGTATTTTACTTTATGGGTTATTACTAGGAAGCCTTAGATGATGTGAAATGTTACATAGCAATCTAACAGGAGTGAGTCCCCAGGACTATATAAACCAGGGCTCCAGAATCTATTCTGGCTTCCTATTGGCTTCAGGGAACAGTTAAAGAGTTGTTGGGTTTTGACCTTTTTAAAGCACTAAATGGCCTGTGTTTAATTTACTTATGATAACTCCCTTCTCTACATTCTATAGCAAGACATATTCACCCGATTCCAAAACTGTTATCCTTTATGCACCAGATTAAAAATGCTCTCATTTCTCAAATCTTTGACAACAAATTATTTACACCCTTCATTTCCAGTTTTAATCGTCGTCTATTGCTGCAACTACATTGTAAACAGTTTTAGGTTCCAAGTCTTTTTTAAAAAATGTTTTATGAATGAAATGTAAGCCACCTTAAGACCTTTAAATTGGAAAGCCTAGTTAAAAATGAGAAAAAGTACAGTGGCACCTTGGTTCCTGAACACCTCCATTGTCATACGTTTCGGTTCTCGAACGCCAAAAACCCGGAAGTAAATGCTTCTGTTTTCAAATGTTTTTTGGAACCTGAACCTGTGACACAGCTTCCACTGAGTGCAAGAAGCTCTTGCAACCAATGGGAAGCTGTGCCTTGGTTAGCAAACATTTTGGAAGCCAAACGAGCTTCCAGAACGGATTACATTTGAGAACTGAGGTACCACTGTACTTGTGTTATTATAGCTCTACTAATGGGTATGGTGACATATAATAAAACTCTAATATCTATGAAGCTCAACAAAGAAGCATTTCTTACATTTGTTTCAAATTTGTACGTCAAGACTACCATGGGCACTATTGTTGGCTGTGGTTTCTTCTTTTCTGGATGCTTGCTTTACAGAGGGACACTACAATCAAAACTCCTGCTGGTTGGGGAGTAGAGAAGGAATTGGGCAGAAGTGACCCTGCACCTAGTTCTGCCAGACTCCACCAATGCAGAGCTCCTTGTTATGCCTGCTGAACACGTGGGTAGGCAAACATGTCACTGACAGGATCCCCACCAACAGCAGACCACAAAAAGTTCTGATATTGGGTGAGGATGAGATGTGGAGGAATTAGGTACCCTTTCATCCACTGGATCTCAAGGCTGCCTGACTGCCATCATGCAGCAACATCAGGCCCAATTCAGGCTCAGTTGCTAAGCCAGTGCCAGGCAGGTGCACCAGTCTGTCTAGCCTACTTTCAACTTCCACCCCAACCAGTGGTGGATCCTAGTGCTCCATCAAGTTCCTCTACTTCCTGGACACGGTTTGGTTTGCAGCCTAAACCAGAAGATGAAACCATAATGAGTGCCATCTGACTAAATCATACTTTGAGTAGACCCAGTGAAATCAATGGACCTAAGTTAGTCACGACCAATTTATGTCCACTGATTTCAGTGCATCTATTCTGAGTATGCCATAGTTAGGTTACACCCATCAATACTAGAATTTAAAGATCTGCTTAGACATATGTAGGGAGCTTTCTTCTTACATGATGGAACTTTTCACTTTTACTACTGGTTAAGAAAAGCTTCCTTGAACTCATGGAACTAATTTCATGGTTCTTTGAATCCTGGTCTGAGCCATTTTCACTTAACTTTCCAAGAACCATGTTTGGACACTAAGGCTTGAGCACCAAGCTTCTGCTCCATTCAAATAAGAGGATGTGATTCGCTATAACTCCCTTTCCATCTGCAGCCCCCAAAACTTATTCCCATACTGTTCTCCAATGCCCAGGAACAGATTTTAAGTTCTTTTAAGGTCTGTATAAAATATTTCCACCTTATTTCCAAGGTATTGTGATATCTTTGTTTTTCTGAAAACAACTTTGATACATCCAGAGTTCTGTTTTATATGCCAGTTCACTCCTGAAAAATAAATTATTCAAACGGATGCACATTATAGTGGAAAGGACAAAGCATGTATGTTTACTAGATGTAGGTGGGAATGCGATTTGTATGTATAGTGGAATGTGCATCTTACTGACATGCTTGGCTGGTAAGATGTGCACTTAGATGCTCATTCCAACATGTGTTCTGATGTGCATTCAGCCTCCTGTTTGTTTCTCTCTCTGGTGAGTTTGCGCAAGAGTTTGCACATCCACCTGCTGATTATTTTTCTCCCCCTGGTAAAAAGTAAACTAGACAGAATTGAACATAAGGAAGGTCCAGGTAATTGCTCGTACCAGTGAAACAATATCTGTGTTGGAAATCGAACTGTCAGATTACCACGGTATCCCTACTTTTCACTAGAGCTGCAGGAGAAATAAGATCAACATTTCAACTTCACTTTATTTCATCCAAAGTTCCTTTTGCAGCTCAGAGTAGGGGAATGTAAAAGGGGAAGGGGAAGGTGTTAGTGGGTCCTAGCTCTGCGTCCAAAGACAGAAAAATCAATAGCTTTTTTTTTTTTTTGACACTAATTGCATCCTTTTTCAAACACTGCAGATTATTTATGGAAAGCTCTTTGCAGCACCATGCCTAGCAGCTTCAGGATGAGTATATTGTCAAAAGTGGATGTAGAATCTGTATTTGGATAAATGATGGCTGTCTTGGAATAATTAGCCCAATCCTTAAAAGAGCAATCGCACACCCCAAGACAGCATGTGATAGCATTTGTAGGAGACAGCTTTCTGGTATCATTTGTATGTAAGAAGTGCATTTAAAACTAAACTTCTGTATAATCACAATTTTCTCCATTTGTATTAAAATAAATGTATCCAAACACATACATAATTGTAACCTATTACACAAGAGTCATGATTTTAGTGATCTGAATGACTAACGGCCTGGTAAATGAACTCTATAAATTTTAGATTTGTAGGAAGCAAAACAGATGTAAGCACAATACTAAAAACAACAGGAAAACGCAATGACAGTGCCCATGCATTCATTCTAGAATGAATGTGTGTTATAGGGAACTTCTTGTTTAATTAGTGTTTGTTCTTTATGAAGGAGACTGTAATAAAATATATTATCTGGGGATATAGCCAAATTAAGATTCATATTATGTACAGCTTTGTGGAAAAGCAGTATCAAGCAGCTCAACATGTTTCACAGTAGTCAAAGTTAGAATGGCACATTAATAGTAACAGCAGATTCAGTGCATGACGCATTATCAAGGATATTTTCAGCAGCCATCAACAATCATACAGCTATGTCAATTAGACCTGCGTCTAAGATTTGTTTATGTCTGCCACTACAGTAGGAGTGTCTTGGACAAAGATGCCCAAATATTAGTCTAAAATACAAGATAAATGATACACCGATGACAACATATTTTTTAAACAAAATATGTTGCTACATAAAAGCTGTTACTTAGTAGTTAAATGACCTGTTTCCTCCTAGCTCTTCTTTTCTCAAGTACAACTGATTACTAGAGATAAAATCCTAAGCATTTTCAAAAGGTATATGTGCTTATTTTCAAAAAGAGTAAGTATTCATCAGAGTTACTGCTTTTCGTCAGTCTGATACATTGGTACACAGAGAAGTTCTCTGTCCCACGAGAATGCATTTTACAGGCCAACAAGCTTTCCATTTCATACACTATTTTTTATTGTCTTCCACCCTATTTCAACATTTTAATATTTTACAAACACACATTTCATTATCGTAGTTTAATAATTAAAACCAGAACTGGTGTCATGCCCAATTAATGTGCCCTGGTAGCATGCCCATTAGTTTTTCCATTAGTGAATTCAACAATACTAATGGGATTACTAGCATGGGATGCTAATTGGGCGTGACATAAGAAACTGGCTTACTTCTTAGCATACCCTTGCTAATGATGAAATTAATGAGCATTTTATTAAATGCTGTCTCATCAAAGTGTACTTAGTTAGCGTTAAAATTGTTACAAACGATGCTGCATGCCAAAGATGAGGTGTCTACAAAAGTGATTCTTTATATGTTTTGGCAACAATCTGGAGCATTTTATTTTATTCATCAGAAATCACATTTGTAGCAACACAATTTCAACATTTTAAGCTACATAAGGGAATACGCCAACCAGAGTCGAAAGTTGGAGAAAATCACTCTGCAGATATGAGGCACAGTCCTCTGAATGCTTCTGTAACGTGTTAAAAGCTGAATGACTACAGTCCACAACCCATTTACTTTGTAACAGTGCTGTCAGCTCTAATAGGAATTGCTTTGGAGTAAAAGAATTTCAACTATAGTAATCACATTTAAATATTCTGAGTTAAGCAAGATTTGGACAAGAATAGCCCTTATGAAAAGCTATAGAAAGAAGCAGGTCTCTCCAGGAGAAAACGCTTGCATTTTCATGCCAGTTATGTGCAGGTGGAAAAGGAACTGCACTTTCAAAAAAGAAGAAGTTATTCTTATCTAGATCCTTCTATGGTCTCCTCACCAAAACTCTAACTTTTCACTAGTGGGGGATGAAAACTCCTAATGACCAATAAGATGCATTATCAATAAATGTATCTGTGAAAAGAGGAGGCTAGATAAGGTAGCCCAACAGACATAACAGGCCACCAAGGACAAGTTTCGCTTCCGTTTCATTTTCTCGCTATGAGGTGTCCATGTCTGGAGGCTCCACCTCCAGATGATGTTCTGAGTCCAGTGAAAGAACTGAAGGCAAGATGCAGTTGAACAGCTCTTTTTATATATCCCAAGTGTTCACAAAGCACAACAGAAAGTCCAGGGGATCTCAGGGCATGTACAGCTCCACTACCCCTAACACTACAAAACAGCAACAACTCTTTCTAAGGTTCTTTGGGTGAATATATTTCTTCTAATTCCAAAGACATCACAGAGTGCCTTCTCAACTGCTTCAAGTTCTGCTTTGTCTCAATTTGGGTCTCAGATAGGTAAAGGTAAAGGTACCCCTGCCCGTACGGGCCAGTCTTGACAGACTCTAGGGTTGTGCGCCCATCTCACTCAAGAGGCCAGGGGCCAGCACTGTCCGGAGACACTTCCCGGGTCACGTGGCCAGCGTGACATTGCTGCTCTGGCGAGCCAGAGCCACACACGGAAACACCGTTTACCTTCCCGCTAGTAAGCGGTCCCTATTTATCTACTTGCACCTGGGAGTGCTTTCGAACTGCTAGGTTGGCAGGCGCTGGGACCCGAACAACGGGAGCGCACCCCGCAGCAGGGATTCGAACTGCTGACCTTTCGATCGGCAAGCCCTAGGCGCTGAGGCTTTTACCCACAGCGCCACCCACGTCCCTGGGTCTCAGATAGCAGGATCTAAATGTCCAGGTCAGCAATTGATCCATTCAGGCACAAATGTCACTTTCCTGCACCCACCCACCCCTGGTCTACGTAAACCCAAGTAACTAACTCAGGGAGGCTGGGAAGGTGGATAACGACTAGCATTCTTCTCATATATTAGCCCTGTCTAATATATTTCCCTCTTGGTGCCCTCCTGGGAAGGGTCTCTTCATCCTTCCAGGTTATAAGCTCCCTATGTATCCAGACCTCTGGGTAAGAGATGTACCTTCAAACTGCCTGACCAGCCCTTCTAGTGGGCTCCTGAGGCTTGCCATTGCCTCGCTTGCTAGGGGCCTTCCTGGGAGAATGCAAGGCTGGAGGTATGTTGGCTTAAACCTCTTCCCCAGGCTAACAAGCAGTCTCCAGCAGCCACACCACTTGCCTGGATGCAAAGTTGCTTCCTCTCTGCCCCAGCTAGCTCCTACATGGGCATTCCTCAGCCTTTCTTCCTACTTCCAGCCCCCCAAATTCTGCCTGGCTCTCTACATCTTTTATTTCCACCCTACTCTTCCTAGTGGCTTTTCTGCCCATACCCGCAATCTTGTGATGTATGCTCATCAAACCCATTAGGATGGTGAGCAGGACAGTGGTGATAGAAACTGGGGATGACTTTGGGAGCTATTCATAGTTGGTCATCAAGCCCATTATGTATCTACTAAAGTCAGGGCCGAAGTCAGGATCTGGTGTCCTTAAGCAGCTGCCAGGGCTTTAGCTGTTCCCTGGCGAAGTCCAATGTTGATGCTTGCCCTGTGCCTCTTTAAAAAAAAAAACACTCTGGTGCACCAGAACACACCATGCCCAGGGCCTCATCAATCCTGGAACTGTAACCTGTAGCCTCCATGCAAGACTGATGTTAGGACTATGTTGTATGCCAGGAACAAATAACAAGGGACAGGTCTTGGCTTCCAATAATAATAAAACCACTGTAATATTGCTAAATTGGCTTAGTAATTAACTTGCTAGCCATCCTATTGTTGGAAATTAGATGATGGACTAGCAAAGCAGTTCCTATGTTGGTATGAAACTTCACGTCACAGTGTATTTGTCAGTTTTTACGATGCCACATGACTTGTCCTTTTGGTCCATTTTTTGCGTATGGGGGACCATATACCTAAATCTAATCTGCATTTAACTGGTCTGGTCTGGTACCTACACTTTGACAAGTGCAGCCCACAGAGCAATATATTCAGCAATGCTTCCAGAATTCTTGCCACACACTGGCAGCAAAAAAAGACATGCTGTACTTCACACTGGTGACACAGTCACACGAAAGCCCTTAATATATGCAATATATTCAAAATCCACATTATTCTCATTTCTTTTCAAAGTTTCTTCTTCGGCTGTCTAATCATAGGTTTATTTTTCTTCTGCCAAACTTATATTTGAATTAGCATGTACACTTTTTAATACATACATTTTTTAAAAAAATACTGGCAATACTGACATTTGTGTTATTTTTACATAATAAACAGTTTTTTATTTCATTAGATAATATAGTTTTAAAAGGAGTGTTGTCAGCTTTGCAGAGCTTGAGATTATATTACTGAAGTTCTGTCTGCATCTACAAAGATCACCTCACAGAGTGTTTGTTGTGGGGGAGGAAGGGAAAGGAGAATGTTAGCCGCTTTGAGACTCCTTAAAAAAAGGGAGTGAAAGGCGGGATATCAAATCCAAACTCTTCTTCTTCTTCTTGAGTCATACAATCTTAGTGTCAGTATTTCATGGGGTCCAAACAATTTTAATGCAGAAATTTAACTCTATTTGACTTCATAACTTATTAGTAATTCAGTGCAAGAGAAACAATAGGTTTTAAACTTCTGTCCTCTAACAAACTTCACTACATTCAATTTAAATGAACCCATTAACCTATTAATTAATAAGCAGAAAAAGAAGAAAAATCATATCATTAAAAGGTATAAAATGCTTTTGAGACTGGCAAATTTACTATACCTGAGGATCAAAGAGAAAGTAAGGACGTCCCCTCTGCAACTGAAGTACAATATATTCCTCTTGATTCCCAGGTGACACGGAGAAAAGAATTAGACCATCAAGTTCCTTAGTTCTGAAACTCACTTTAATGCCTGGTTAGAAATAAAAGGATATTATTTACCTCTCAGTTTTTCATGCATTTATAGAAATCAATGTGTCTGATAAGAAACAAAAAGCCAGAACCATTATCCAGGGGGACCAGGGGAAATATGTGCACTTGAAGCACATGATCCAATTTACATGAGTTCTGCTCAGGTGTTGCTTTCTAAAAATGTACCTCATGAAAGATGACGTTCACTTTTCCATCTGCTCTACCTTTCCTCCTACCACTAATAAAGATGGTTTATTCCTGTGCTGTGTCAAGCTCCACCTCCTATTTTAACGAGTCTTCCCTTTGCACAAAAGTGGTATTTTCTTCTCCCTCGGCGTTATGTACTGTACTGAGTTGAATAGGATCCAAACAAACTGCAGCAGTCTGATTGGTCCTAGAACAATAGGATCCAAAATGCAGCAGTCCGATTGGTCCTAGAACAATAGGATTCAGAATGCAGCAGTCTGATTGGTCCTAGAACAATGCAGCAGTATGATTGGTTGGCAGGAACCACCCAATCATTCTCCAGATAGAAGTGAATCCACAACCTGATTGGCTTACAGCAGAATTCTGGAATTAGCCAATCATGTGCAGCCCATTGTGTAAATAATGTATATAAAGCAGATACTTTGAGGGGACTTTCATTCATTCCTCCTCACCACTATGAGCTGAATAAAGAGCATGAAATCACTTTGCGACTCTGAGTATATTTCACTCATTTTTGGAGAATGGAAGAACTTTGAAGGAATTCCATTAGAGGCAGGTGTGTGTGTTACACTTGCCTTATTAAATGTACAAAATGGAAGACTGGGAGCTCTATGTACACAGGCTTACATCCTGGCAGGACCTGCTAGAGTGACCATGTGACCCCATAACCTGAGATGGTTACTCTAGGAAGTAATGTAAGCCTTTGTACAAAGAACCCCACACTGTATTTTACTGTCATGGAGAATAAACACTTGGCAAATTTTCTGCCTCAGGTGTGAAAAGAAGTTGACTGGCTTTGGATAGTACTATGTGCCTTGACAGGGATACAATTTGCTGCTCCGCCTCAGGCAGCAAAATGTCTTGGGCTGTCCTTGTTTACAATTATGGCTGCTAGGCAGGAAAAAGCATGTACTGAGGAGGACAGTGAAAAGAATTTTATTGACACAATTTTGGCACTTTTGTAATGAATATTAAAATTATTTGTGGGATTCCATGCTGTTTTCAACAAGGGCAGTTATGATTAACAATGTGCTCTAACTTCATATCTACTCATACCCATATCCTTGTGGTTCCCCCTTAGCACATTAAACACAGAGCAGGCTAATTTATTGGGTTTTACCCAGCTGTAGCAAATGAATCAACTTCTTCATATTCATTTTTCCCCTTCCTTTGCCAGGCAGAAAATAATAAGTAATGGGAAGCTCTTTGTGTAGACAGAAACTATTATGAAAAATTAAAGAATCATAACTGCAACACGTATTCATATTACATAAGGCTGCTAATTACCTCACGCCACAAGCAATATCCTTTGACCCACAGACTTTAATCATGCCACAGGTTGTCACCGAGTGCATCACAGTGTACTCACAAATATTAAGACGTTCACTTGAGATAATGAACATCAATCATGCTATTAAAGTAGCTGTTCAGAGCTATGCAACAATTGTCTTTGAATAAACATAACAGGGGATATAATCAAAATCTCCTTTAGTGTTCAGGTGGCATTTCAGAGGACTAGGGGTGGCACAAAGAAAAAGGAGAACTGGAGGGAAAAACAGAGAAATTTGGCCTCAGGGCGATGTCATGGTTACTTAATTCCTGATTATTCCTTTACATATATTTACCTTTTTAAAACTGATTGCTACTAAAATATTGAAGGCAGATTAAAAATACATAAAAACCAACATTAAAACAACTAATAAGAGACACAAGGTAAAAGAGTCAGCTTCAGTAATTGCCTGACAGTCCTGTAAATAATACCTAAACTCTTGACAGTATTTGTACTAGTGCGTTTGGTAATGATACTGGTGTGGCATGTCATGTTCTAAGAACATCGAGTTTTGAGCCATTGGTCTATTGCAGGGCTTTCCAAACGGTGTATCGTGACACATTAGTGTGCCGGCTGCAGTGTGTAGATGCGTCATGTGATTCAGTACGATCCTCTTGAAAGTGCTCTCTTTCTATCAGCGTTGCTTTGCCAGCATATACCGTATGTTACAGAAACCACATTAGATCTCTATCAAGGAGCTGCCACATGGTACCTGTAATATATAGTTGGACCCTTAATTGAGAAGCTTTGAATATTATTATATTAAATAAAGGCTAGAGCTGGATGGTGAAAGGTCTCTTTAATATATTTTTCCAGTCCTTCCCTACAGCTTGATGAGCCACTGAGTGTCTCAATTACCTCCTGATTTCATATATTTTATTCTATTCTCTTCATTGTTCTCAACTTTCCACATCACTCTGTCATACACTTTCTGTGTTTTGCTGGATGGCTCTAAGATGAAAAACTATGTAGCCTTACTTCGACCCAGAGGTACGATACCTTCCGCAACACAACTATCTTTAGGAACAGTGAACAAGTGATTTTTCATGGAAATTGATAGTAGTGCAAATATAGCCAACTTAACTCTGCTGGTAGCAGAAAAAGGAACATTCCTAAAACTCCTTGGGTTGGATTCAGAAAAGTACTACCAGAAGGGGCTGTCATGAGATGACTTTTGGCATGCTCCATCCGCTAAACCCTCCTAATCGCTTTCCTGAGAGTTGGAGAACCCAAGTGACTGGGGTGGGCTAAGGCCCTGGGGAGACCGGATGACGGAGATTGCTGACTTGCACATTGAGGCTCCTTTCATAAGCAATACTTTGTGATACTTTCTTAAAGTAGTAACTGTGATCTGGGGCAGATTTGAAATATACAATCAACTAATTACTCCCCCCTACACCCGTTATTATCGTTGCAATATCTCAAAGCAACCAGAAGCTAAAGGAGGTCAATCTAAATAGGGTAAAGAAAAAGAATTGTAAACAAATCTGAATGTGGGTGGCTGGCTGAATAAAGGAATTAATAATAGGACCAAAGCAATGGTGTTCTATACATCCTATCATTCTGGATCAAGGAAATCATCTTGATTTAGACTCAAGTACATTCTGTTATGTTAAAGTGACAAATTTGATACCTGTTTTTATTTTTTTTGCCACCCCATTATACCCACTACTGGTAAAACAAACAGGACATTTTAGCTTTAATCTTCTTACTACATAACCCAAATAACTTCAGTCATGTTTGCATTAATGTTGCATTAATCATGTTGTTGCGTATTAATGAGTTTTCAGGCTATGCTAATTACTGTCATAGATTCTGCAGCAGCCCATTAAATATACAAATTACAGAATTAAAGAGCCAGAGCTCTTCATGATTAATCTTTAAATGGAGAAAAACTAATGATGTCTGTACAAAGTTTCTCTCTACTTTGGGCTGACTGAGCCCAATGAGCAATCAATTAGAGTATTTGAGGAATAAGAAACCTCTAAGATAGTGTAAAGGGGCTTTTTTTGCACAGTTATTCAAAACAGACATTGGGGATAAAACCTTTTCAGTTTTTCTACTATACAAACATTTATAACATCATCCAATCTTTAAGACTTTCTTAAGTGTCTACAGGCTTACATTCATTATTATGTACCCACTGGAAGCAGCTGCCTGCCTCTGTATGAATATAGTAAATCAATCTTCTCTTTTTAGCAAGGACACCAGTCCTGTTGCTCTCTAGTTAAGAAGATTTACAGCAAACCTTGGTGAAAACAAAGGCGAGATAAGTTTAGAGTCATTTGATAAGATTTGATGTATTAGAAGCACTTTCCCCTCCTAGCTCCTGAATGATGTTTTGTTTAGGAAGAGAACAATGGCTAGTGGTTAGGGATTGTAAATTAAGAGAGATGGATTCTGCACCAAGTTCTGCCACAGACACAGCGTAGAACATTAGTCAAGTCATTTAACTTCTCCTGGCCTAATTTCATGGACCATCTGTAAAGTGAAGGTTGGTACTCTTCATGCATCTAATTTCCAACATATCAAGAGAGTGGGGGTGAAATAATGCAGTTAATTATCAACATTTTTATATTATATGAACTGCATCCTCAGATACAACCAGAGTGCCTAAAACCAATATATATTTTTACTTATCTCTGGAAATATGAATGACATATGCAATCATTACCAATTGGACTGGGCACATAAGTCACAGAAATAATATTTCATGGGCAAATGTCCTGAACAGCCAGTAATAGTACCACTCAAGAATACTTCATTACTAGGGAAGCTTGAGGATTTTATATGCTCCACCTTTTGAAACAAACATACCTGATTTGTACTGCCCAGGGTCATTGCAGGTTGGAAAGTATATATGCAAATTAGTCCACAGTTCTACAAACCTTTCACTGCGTAGTCCATCTGCTTTATTATTATTGTTGTTGTTGTTGTTGTTACAGTTTACCCAAGGACCCTTTCTGTCTTCCTGCCCCTTCTTCTTCTTTTTTACAGCTTCAGGCTGCTTGAAGCAGCTAGAAAGTGTTAGACTGCTGTACAAGCTTGAAATGCTTGTGAAAAAGCTCCAGGAACCAGCCAAATATCTTTATGAGCTGTCCCTTTGTGGATAATTGTACAGAAAGAAGATGGCTGCCCCCATGTGCCCATGGAAGCCAGCAGCAATTTTTTCCTACCAGATCTGTGTTAGTTCCGGACCACCTGTAATAATGGACTTTTCGTTTCCTGGAGCATTTTCACAAACATTTTTAAACTACAATGTACTGTGCTGTGCTTTCTAGATTCTCCAAGCAGTGTGAACTTGTAAAGAAGGAATATATATCAAACCACTTTATAATCTGGAAGGAAGGGAGGGGGGATAAAATGACCTCCCTCTTGAAAATATACAATTTTATAACTGAGAATTTAAGCACTCGAAAATGGGATGAAACAGACTTCCTATCAGTTATGTGTGAAAAAGACAT